CCCTGGGCTTTGGGCGGGTCTTGGGGACTCCACTGCAAAATGGGCCTGGCACAGTTCCCCTCCAAGAGACTGTGGGTGTCCAGTTATCCAGGAAAAGTGGTGCCTTGTTAGTGGCACACAGTAGGTGTCCTATCAGCCAAGAAAAATGGGTGTCCAGTTACTGGTATACAGTAAGTGTGTAGGTGCCACGGTTTTCCCTGGCATGCCTGCTGCCTCCCTGGGCCCTCCCAACACCTGTTACCCTCTGCACACCTGTCATCTATTCCAAGTCCTCCCCAAACACCTGCAGCCCACTGGTAACACAGTAGGCCTTCTGTCACACAAGAGAAGCAGGTGTGCAGTTATCGGTGCACAGTAGATGCTGGCGCTTAAAACACAGTAGGTCCAGTTACTTGGCGTGCAGGAAGTCCTCAGTGGCTGGGACAAGGCCTGAAGTGCACGTCCCCCACCACCACCTGAGTCCTGAGCTCTGGGGTGGGGGCTGCTGGGGAGAGGGGCCCAGGGAGCTGAGGACATGACAACCAACACGTGGCCCCGTGCCCCGTGGCCCCTGCCCAGGGACACTGTACCGCTACACGCTGCTGCTCTACGGGACAGCTGAGGACATGACAGTGCGGCCCATGGGCTCCCAGGTAACCAGCAGCGTGTGTGTGCGGTGCGCCACAGAGGGGCTGTGCCAGGGTGAATGCCTGGCACAGCTAGCCCCTGTGCTGGGAGGTGGCAGCAGCGGGCAGTGTGCGTGTGCGGCTGGGTAGCCGGGCGGGCATGGTGGGTGCAACCTCGTGACCCTCCACATCTGTCCTGTTCACAGAATGTCACAGCCCTGCCTACATCCTGGACTGCCTCTGCCTCTCCCACTGCCCACCTCAGTTCTTCAGCCACACCCGGCAGGCAGTGACCGTGGGGCCCTTCGGGTCTGCGCCAGCTGCCGCCTTCCTGCCGTACCTGCCACAGGAGCTTCTCCTCGACCGCACCGCCTGTTCCCCCGGCACACCCTGGATGAGCGCCAGGGCTCCTGCTCGGTCCCTGTCACCCCTGCCACCCAGCCCTGCCCCCACCACGGCCCAGCCAGGGCCCTGCAGCTGGCCCTGCCAGCCGTGGCCTTGGGGAGCTCCATCTTCAGTAGCATCCTCTCCATGGGCTGCCCACTGCAATCTGGGGGGCTGCCCCCACCCCTACCCCAGATCTGGCTACTACCAGCTGGAACCTGGCTGTCCATTGGATGGGACATGTGACATGGACAGCAAAACATACGCCTCAGCCTTGGCTCCAGTGGGCCCCACTACCCACTCCAGACTGGCCCCAGATGGGGAAACTGGCCCCCAGAAGGCCCTCGCTGGCAGCCGGCCGCTCCAGGCCACGGGGAGAACTGTCGAGTCCTGTGTGAGTCCTGTCACCAGGTGTGGCAGCTCCAGGTGAAAAAGAGAGGTCTTGTTAAGAAATCGGGAAGGGGTGGGGGTGGGAAGGGACAGAGGCCTGACCAGGAC